CGTCGTCGTCGGCGGCGGCGGCGGTTTCGTGATGTTCTAAGGAGGCGTTCGATTTGTCGTGAAAGCCGCCCCCTTGTCGCAGCTGCAGCCGACAGGACTGGACACATATCTCTCTCGCACGACACGGAGGAGGGAGAAACGAGGCAAGCAGCGAACATGACGTGGTGAAGCGGTCGGCACGGAGCGAATCGGGTGGACGTTGGTCGTCGGTCGGCCATCGTCGGTCGGTGCGGCGAGAAGGTGTTCAGAGGGTTTTCGGAAGCTGTTTGGCGGCTTTCGGGGCCCAGGTTGGTTCTCATCATTGAGCAGGGACCGACCGTCCCAGCATTCCTATAGTCATACCACGAAAAGTTCCTAGAAGCCACAACTGTTCGAAGAACAAAAACAATGTTCTTAGAACCCGATGTCATAAAACAAGACAGACTCCGCCAGAAATGTTCCAAGAACAGTGCGTGGAAACCACACAAGGTTCTTAGAACATTGCTTGGTATGGCTATATAGCCAGGACGCTTCGCCACTGATTGACATCAGCTGCGCCTCAGAAGTGGTGTTCTGGGGATGCCGGCTTTGCCCCAGACGGCCACCCGAAGCCCGAGTCAGCGCCCAGAAGCCATCGGAGGACCGGGCGGGTCCGAGACCCAGGCGCTCCTGGCGGGGGGGGGCGGCATATCCAGACCTTCCGACGATGCGATGCTTGCAATCGCCGCGCAGTACCGTCGTTCTTCGGTCTCTCCGGGCCGCTCCTACAGTGGAGGTCAGTCCCCAAGAAACCTTCCACAAGGAACCCAAGCCCGAGCCCCCAGCACGTCCAATGGGTTTTTGGCGTGGGAATGTCGTGCTTTCCATCGCAAGACCATCGAAACCCAACAAACCCAGGGCACCCTGGAGGCAAGCGAGGGCAAATCCAAGGGCTCCCAACTTCGCGCTTCGCGCTGCGCGAAGCGCGAAGTGCGAATAACGTCGCGCTCTCGCGCCGCCTCCCAAGGGGAGCAGAGGAGGATGAGGCGGAATCGGAGCCGAAGCGCGAAGCGTGCAGCGCGAATCACTTCGCGCCCGCGAGGGCGCCCTGAAACTCGGAGCCTTCGGGTTGGGTTTTGGGTGGTCTGGCGGACGACCGATGGAGCCAGAAGGAGGAGGAGGTGGAGGAGGGAGAAGGAGGAGGAGAAGGAAGAGGGGGAACGGGGAGGAGGAAGAGGGGGGGGGAGGGGGAGGAGGAAGAGGGGGAGGGGAGGGGGAGGAGGAGGGAGGAGGAGGAGGAGGAGGAGGAGGAGGAGGAGGAGAGGGGGAGGAGGAGGAGGAGGAGGGGAGGGGGAGGAGGAGGAGGGGGAGGAGGAGGCGGTGCACTTTAGCGTCTTGGCCGCGCCCTCGGCGGCGGGCCCGGTTGAGACGGCGGCGGCGCGCTCCCTCCTCTCTGCGGGCCCCTGCGGGGCGACCTCTCGTCGCCACGGCCCGGACACGCCTCGCCCGCCGCGCGCGGAGGCCGACTCTGGGCGTCGCTGGCTGGGGGGGGGGGATCTGCTGGAGTCAGGTCGAGCATGTCTGAAGGGGCCCTGGGACACACAATAAATACACACAATGAAAAAGATGTCCCATATTTTTCAATATTGTTTGGGTTTTTACTTTCCCCCACTTCCCATATCTTTACATATTTTCCTAAGAATCGGCGATTAATTGTGTCTGTGTGTGTTTTTCCTCTCCTGAGCGTCCTCCTACAGGGAGACCTTGAACGCAAAATTCGCCGGCCCAACGGGCCAGAGGCGTGCTAAGATCTCCGGTAACTGGTTGATTCTCTAGTTCGCGCGCGCGGGGCGGCCCCTGGGGGTCCCCGGACGAAAAGTACCCCGGGCGGGTCCCGGCTGATCCCCGGGCGACTCCACCAGAGCGCTCCATGAGCGCACCAACAGGGTTCCGAGACGTCCCCGAGAGCCCCAAGAAAGGCCAAGAGGCCCCCAAGAGGCCCCCAAGATGGTACACGAGGGGTCCGACATGCCACAAGATCGCTCCAAGACGCCCAAGATAGCCCCCAGACGCCCCAAGAGGCCTCCAAGAGCACTCCCAAGAGGGCCCCCGGAGGCAAAATTCATTGCTTTTCCTTAGGTTTTTGAAAGATTTTGGAGCTTCCACCTTTTCGGCTTCCCGACGCCCCAAGACGGCCCAAGAGGCCCCCAAGATCGCCCCAAGAGGGCCCAAGAGGCCCCCAAGAGGGCCCCAAGATGGCCCAAGAGGGCTCGAAGACGGCCCAAGAAGCCTCCAAAACGGTCCAAAAGGGCCCCAAGAACGCCCCCAAAGGGGCCCCAGAGAGGGAACACGAAACAACATTTCGAGCCCTCGGCCCTAAGAAGCCCCCACGAGGCCCCAAGAGGCCCCTAAGAGGCCCCAAGAGGCCCCCACGAGGCCCTCAGGAGGCCCCCAAGAGTCCCCCAAGCGGCCCCAGGAGGCCCCCCAAATGCCCCCCCGAGCACGCAAGCAAGTGCAAGCGATGCTACAATGTGCTCTCCTTTCGGTAGACTCCCAACGGGGCCCCTACAGACTTGCAACAAGCGTCAAGAACCTGCCCAAAAAGCACTGTCCAGGAGCGTTCACAAGTGCCGCGAAGAAGCCCTCCTTACGCCGGAAAGCCCGGAAAGCCGGGTGGGGTGAGCTGTTCTTCTCACCACCGCGCCCTCTCACACAATGGCTTCCGCACGCCGCCCAGAGCGCGACGTTCGGCTCATGCCCCCAGAACGCTCCAGGAGCGCGCCAAAACGGCACCGGAACGCCCCCGAAACAATCCAAGCGGCCTCAAGTCGCCGAACAATCGTTCCAAATCGCCCAAGATGACCTCAAAATTGCCGTCGAGGCCGCCAAGAAGCCCCAAGAGAGCCTCAAGAGGCCCTCCAAGCCGGCCATTACAATCAAAAATCGTCCCATTCCCAAAGGAACATGTACACTTCCCGCATGAACGGCGTTTCGAATTTCACAACGTCTCAGACTACGCAAATAGCCCCCAACATCGCCCCGAGACAGCCCAACAATCCGCTAAAATCGGCCCAAGACGGCCCAAGATAACCCCAAGACGGCACAAGAGAGCACCAAGACCGCCCAAGAGGCGCCCAAAGGGGGATTCTGCCCCTAGGAGCACCTCAGAAGCCACCAACATCCCGCCAATAAGTCCCCCAAGACGCCCCAAGAACCACCCAAGAAGCCCAACAAGAAGCCCCAACGACCCCCAAACGGCCCTTACGGGGCCTCAAGAGGCTTCAACACTGCCTCCAAGAGGTTCCTGAGACGCCTGGCAAAAGAACCCCCAAAGCGCCGCATTGACACCAGGCCCTCGGGCAAACGGCAGACATGAGACTGTATGGGCCGGCGGAATGAGCGAAGCGATTAAATAAAAACCAGTCGAGCAAATATTCAAAGATAGCTTAAGATAGTCGAACAATCGTGCCTAGCGCTTTTTGGTTGTAACTTTTGTATGTGTTCTCCTCCTCTACAGGGACATGCCCAACTTTTTGAATGTTCTTCCTGTAGAGGGACATGACCGACTTAATACTAGGGTCGGAGGATCTCGCCGCATCGGCGATGCATCGGCGATGCATCGGCGATGCGCCGGCGATGCATCGGCGTGGAGAACATCGGGCTCCACATCGAGCCGCATCGTCGATGCATCGGCGATGCGGAGGGATCTCCCGACCCCACCTGCTTCGACCCCATCTCGGAGGCCCGTAGAGTGATACAATGGGGGGGGCACGGAGCGGTGCACCTCTCGGGCCCGGAAGGCTCCCTTCCGGGCCCCAGAGGGCCCGCGTTCTGCAGCCCTCGCTACCCCCACAAAGATGATCACTGCCCCCCCATCGCGCGACGCCCCGCGACTTCGAACGGCTCTGAGCCGGGCGGCAGAGACACCGCTGCCTCGACTGGCTCTCGTCCGACCTGCCATCGCTCGGACGTCCATGCCACGTGCACGCTTCGATCTCGTGCGCGACTTCTTGCTCGCTGCTCAGAGGACGCTCCTCGATGGCCCTAGCCGAGACAAAAGGCACACGTCCGAACCCGAGCGATGCCGAGGCACCGGTTCTGGCCGTGCTGAGCCCGGGGGCACGGGATCGGTGCACAGGCCCCGAGTGGCCTGCTGGGCACTGGGAGGGCGCGCGCGCGCCCCGACCTCCTCGGCCGAGGACCCAACACCCCGACGTCGTGAATGTTAACTCTGGAAGCCTGGACCTCTTCCCCTCGAGTAGGGAGTCGACTACAGAATGGCCCTGAATTCATTGGCTTGCCGAGCCTTCAAAACATGCGTAACATGTGACGTACATCTACAAAGAGCATTCTGCGCATCGTCCGCAGGCTCGCAGACAAGTCAACTCTGGGGTTAACCAATCATTTCTGCAGTCGATCCCCTTCTCGATCCCCCGGGCGGGCTTCACATGCTGACTCGTCTTCTGACGGGCCTGGGGCCCAACGATGGCCCCCCCGAAGCAGAGAGAGTTGGCGCAAACCTCCCGCAGTGCCCTTTTCACAACGCGAGGAGGCCTTGGAGGGAAGCCCAGCCCAGGCCCGGCGTGGGCAGGCAGATTGGAGGCAGTGTCTTTTGTTTTGTTTTGTAGTAGGGGCTCGACCACAAGAAATATTTTCCACAAGAAACCCAAGCCTGAGACCCCAGGACGTCCATTGATATCTGGCGGGGGAACGTCACGCTTCCCATCGCAAAACCCACGAAACTTCAGAACCCCAGGGCACCTTGGAGGCAAGCAGGGTGCTTCTTGGCGTGGGTCTCCACTGCAGATTCGGGCCAGGCTGCTTCCATGGCTGGAGGGGGGGTGGGGGCGGCGCGGTTCTCGCAGGCCGGGACTCGCCCGACGCCCTTCCGGCCCAGCGCTGCCCCACACGGCGGCGAACGGGGGCTGGACATACGACCATGCTGGCGCGAACCTGCCTGGGCCTGAAGACAAACGCCCTCTGGGCAGGCAGCCCAGCCCGGGACCGGCGCGGGCGTGCAGATTGAGGCCCCCCCCGGACACCTGGCGCTCAGCGAGGGGGTCAGCTCCAGCTTGCGGCGGATGAGCTCCTCGGCGCAGGCCGCCGCCGCGGGCGAGCCTCGAGGAGCGGGCGAAGAGCGTCGCAAACACACGCATAACACCTGTCGAGAAGTGTTCCCCGCGCCTGTGTCCACAAGGGACGGGGGGAATGGGGCGGTGTGTAAACATCGCTGGCTCGTGGAGGTGACTTACACACCGCCACCCGTCCCATGAGGCCTAAGAACGATCCACAAGAGGGGCTCTACAGGCGAACCTAAGCTAGACGCGCATCCTTCGAGCACATGAATGAAACCCTCCGCCAACCAAATCACACAAAATCATAAGATCACCCTGGGTACCCTTCCGCTGCGTCACGCGATCTTCGCTGCCTAGCCTCATCGGGAGAACCACCTGCCATAGCTCGGACGTCCATTCCCTGTGTTTTTTTCGGCGTCGTGCGAGTTTTTTTCGCCAAGTGGTCAAGGATGCTCCTCGATGGTTTTCGCGGCGGAAAAATTGCACACGTCCGAGCGATGCCAGGACCATGGGAGACACTCCAAAATTCCACCCTTAAGGCCTTCGGCCGCTGTCAAAAGCCTTGGGGCGCACCACCCGGCTCCAGCCACCCCGGCCCCCCCCCCAGCCCCGCAGTGTCCCCGAAGAACACTCGAGAGGGTGCTTAGCCCTTCGCGCCGCCAGCATCGACGAGCGCGCGGCCGCTGAGACCAGCGCCTGGACATCGAGACCTGCAAACCTGGAGTTACCAGTTTGAAACATATCCCTATCCCTATGTTTGACATCACCTCACCTCGATGCCGATCTTGAGGATTCCCTCAGTTTCTGAAGGCCTATCCCTAAGATTGTCCTCGCTTTTTGCTTGCCCATCTTAGGGATAGGGATACGTTCGAGGCTGGTTATGGAGGGCCCCCCCGCCACGGACGCGGAAGTCCTGCGGCCTGCCCCGTCGGTCCTAGCAGCAGCGGGCCGACCAGGCCGAGCGCGCGGCCGCGCCCGCCGCCCCATACTGAAATCTGCGGCCGCGCGGCCCGGCCCACGCACCCTTTGACCCCCCCCCGCACCCAGCCCCGAGCTGTTTCCGAAGAGCATGCGAGGGTGCCCTGCCGACTCCGCGGACTGACGCAGTCGAACCATGAGCCCCAAACCCCAGCCTTACCAGAAAGAGCGAACAGAGGCGCCAAACTGAAAAACATTCGAGGGTGCCCTCCCCCAGGATGCACAAGAAGAAACAACGAGCACGAAAAACATTGGGGTACCCTCCCCAAGACGACCTCGATCTTCTGCCTCGGTCCGAATGTGTATATATCTACAAATGCACAGAAAAGCTAGCCCTCAGTTGCGGATGAGAGCGAGGGGGCGGCGAGGCCGTCGGCAGTCTGCGAGTCCCTGGAGAAGCCCGCCGCAGGCGCATATTTGACAAAAGTGCGCAGAGAGCCCGCCGCATGCGCCGATTTTTTCGTGAAAGCAATGTGGGTGGGTCGCGGGTTGGGCCCGCGGTTGGGCAAGTGGTGGGTCGCGGGTGGGTCGCGGGTGGGTCGCGGGCCGGGTCGCGGATGGGTCGCGGGTGGGTCACGGGTGGGTCGCAGGTGGGTCGTGGGTGGGTCGCGGGTGGGTCGCGGGCTGGGTCGCGGGGGGGGGGGGGACGACAACAACAACAACAACAACAACAACAACAACAACAACAACAACAACAACAATCATTTTACCCGAACGCGTGGTGTTCTCCCCAGTGCCAGGGTTTTCATACGACACCAGGCAATACCCCCACTTCGTGGGGGGGCATTACAAGCTCTACCAAATATCCAAACGACTCTTCGCGACCACCCAAACCCAGCTTCCCGCCCTATGACGTTGGGACACTTCACTTCGTGGCGTGCGGACGACCGTGGCTACTACACTGGCGTGGGGTACACACCCACAGAACTTGGTCACTTATTCGGGGCGCGCATGTGCCCAGCATGGTGCAATTGTGCCATACAATACATAATACAGAGAGACGAATGTGTCCCGCATGGTATTATTTGACAGGGATGATGGCCCTGGCAGGTGCGCAACCGTTGTCGCAGAAGTTCGAAAAAGTTGCTCGCAAAAGCCCGTTTGACAGAAATGTTTAAAAAGTGTTGGGTTTCCTACGAATCCGCAAGAGCGCGCGGGATGAGATTTTGACATTTTTTTGTTGAAAAACCATTGGTTTTTTGATGTTTTTATGTTAAAATCGCTCCGAACACTAAGCTTTTGGAAGGATTTCGTCTTGCGCGCGCGAATGTCCACTTTACCTTATTTTTTGCAAGGGATTCTTGAAATTTGATTATATTAGAACAAGAAATGTCATTTTATAGTGTTTTTTGCAAGGGAAAACGGATTACAACAAAACAACCGGATCTTGATCACCTCGAATTACCTGAGGCTTCCTCACGAAAATGATGAAAACGTAGCTGCGGCCTAGGCGCGGCGGGGGGGGCGCGCACCAGGGGGCCCAACAATAATTATTCTTTAGAATTAATAATGTTCAACAACAACAACAACAACAACAGCAGCAGCAGCAACAACAACAACAACCGCGACAACAGCGACAACGACAACACCAACAACAACAATCTCTTTAGGACTGTTCGCTCCTACCTGCTGGCGTGCCAATCAATACGTGTATCCCAGACCTTCGGTACCCGCCCTCGACGTCTTCGATCGTAATACCCCCTGGGGGTATATCTTCCTTCCCTTCCATGTGCATGTAGTCCAGCCCCTAAGACAAGGGAAGAGAGAACGGGTGGAAGGGGGAGGGAGACGAATGGAGCACGAGAGAAATTAGCAGGAGGGGGAAAAGAAACAGAAAACAAGTGGTCGAACCAGACGGGCAGATCGGGTGGGCATACCCACAGCGGGCAGGTCGGGAAGGCGGGCCCAGGCGACGAGGTCGAGCAGGTGGGTTGCTGAGGCGTGGGCCCTGCATGAATCGCGAGGAAGTCTCGAGCGATGGCGCGATGCCCAAGTGAATCGTAAGAAGAGCCAAAGCGAGAGCGTGTTTCCTGAGCGCCGAGGGCGCATCGTCTGAATAAATTGCGAGGAAGTCCACGGCGAGAGCGCGATGCGTACATGAATTGTGAGGAAGTTCCACGCGAGAGCGCGATTTGGGAATACATGTGAGGAGGTATCAGGCGGGATCCGTTGTTGTTGTTGTTGTTGTTGCAAACCGGGGGCCAGGGGCCCAGTTTGAGCCCTGTGACTTTCCCTGAAAAAAAGCAAGTTGCGAGCCCCGGGGTAAGCACTTCAATTGAAACAACGCAGAGGTTACCGGGACGGGGGATCAACAATAATCACCTATACGACCACCCTTCGGGTGATAAGGAGGTTGTGGTGGGGGGGAGAGGGGGAGAACCAACATCTGACTCGATCGATCTCACTGTCGATCTCACTCGACGGGACACCAGGGGGCACAAGGGGGCACCACGGGACACTTGTCGATCTCACTATCGATCTCACTATCGATCTCACTCAACGGGACACCACGGGACACCACGGGACAGACACCTCTTGATCTCACTTTCGGTCTCAATATCGGTCTCACCATCGATCTCACTGAACGAGACACCATAGGACACCACGGGACACCCCGGGACAACACGGGACACCTCGGGACACCACATCGATCTCACGATCGATCTCACTATTGATCTCACTCAACTGGACACCACGGGACACCACGGGACACCTGTCGATCTCACTATCGATGTCACCATCGATCTCACTTTTTGGGACACCACGGGACACCACGGGCCACCTCGGGGCACCACATCGATGTCACTATCGATCTCACTGCCGATCTCACTATCGATCTCACTCAACGGGACACCACAGGACACCACGGGACACCACGGCACACCTGTCGATCTCACTGTCGATCTCACTATCGATCTCACTTTTTGGGACAGCACGGGACAGCACGGGACACCTCGGGGCACCACATCGATCTCAATCTCGATCTCACGATCGATCTCAATATCGATCTAACTATCGATCTCACTATCGATATCACTATCGATCTCATTCAACGGGAAACCACGGGAAACGACGGGACACCGCGGGACACTGCGACCCACCCGGGCGGGCGGGGGAGAATCATTTGTCTTGACTTCGCCCTAACAACGGCGGACACCACGGGACACCACGGGACACCGCCGGACACCACGGGACACCACGGGACACCGCGAGCCACTGCCGGACGGGAGGGCGGAGGAGAATCATTTGTCTTGACTTCGCCCTAGCAACGGCGGGTTCATGTCTCTCGCGCGCCCACGCAGCTTCGCCTCGTCCGCACGTTCGACACGAACGAAACAGAACGACTTCCCGGTTGGGGGTATCCGTTCCACTGCGACCTCACCCCCCAACCTCCGATTCTTCAGTAATGTAAGTTCAACAGCAACAACAACAAAATCAACAGCAACAACAACGGCAACCACAACAACAACGACACCGTCAACAACACCAACCACAACAACAACACCACCACCACCACCACCACCACCAACAACAACAACAACACCAACACCAACAACAACAACAACAACAACAACAACAGCAACAACAACAGCAGCAACAGCAACAGCAACAGCAACAGCAACATCAGCAACAACAACAGCAACAGCAACAACAACAGCAACACCAGCAACCACAACAACAACAACAACAACAACAACAACAACAACAACAACAACAACATCAGCGACAACGACAACGACAACAACAACCACAACCACAACAACAACAACAACAACAACAACAACAACAACAACAACAACAACAACAACAACAACAACAACAACAACAGCAACAGCAACAGCAACAGCAACAACAACGACAATCCGCACCGCATAACCTCAATTCACGCGCCCAGGGACAGTAACCGACCGTTCGGCCAACTCACTCTGATGTTTGTGGCGGAGCCCAAGGAGGATGGGGAGTTTATACCCCCACCTGCCACCGCAGAGGCGTAGGCTTCCACGCCGCCCACTGCCGTCGCTCGGACTTCCATTCCCAGGGCATTGATTGGTTGAGCGCGTGTGAATTTCCTGGCGATGGTTCAGATGTTCTGGTGCTGACCTCGCCGCCAACAAACAAATCCCATCCGTCCGAGCGATGCCAAGCCCGGGCCCCATGGTGGACGAATATGCCGCCCAGCCGCCCGGAGACGGGCGCCCGCCCCCGATGGCGGAAAAGGACGCCGTCCCCCGATCACCTGCGGACCAGAAGAGACACCTGCACAGCACACACGCAGCAGGCATGCGGAGTCCCGCGCGGACTCCTCGGGGCCCTCACCGCCCCCTTGCTCGCGGAGCCCGCCAGGGGCGGTGCCAGGGGGAACCCAGCACAGACCCAAGAGATGCGCGCGTCCGAGGCGGGGATTCAGAACCCAGCACATTACCAGCCTGGAACATATCCCTATCCCTATGCTGGGCATCTCCTCATCACGATGCCGATCTTAGGGATTCCCTTATTTTTTTGAGGGCGAATCCCTAAGATTGTCATCGCCTTTTGGCGTGTCGATCTTAGGGATAGGGATAAGTTCGAGGCTGGTAAGCACGGGCCTAAGAGATGCGCGCGTCCGAGGCGGGGATTCACGCACGATCACCACCCGGGGGATCGATCCTCGGGGGACCTCGGCGGGCGGCGGACATGGATCTGTCCTGGCCCTGGAGGGCAGCATGCATCCACATCTGCCGCCTGCCGAGGCCACCGAGTTCTCGATTGCCCCCCCGCGGTGTTCCTGGATCACTGCGGGAAAAAACTCATGCCTGTGCCGACTGCTCCTCTCCGAGGGCGAGGGGGGACCTCAGGGGGGGGGCCCTGCTCAAGGGGAGAACCATCGAGCTGGAATCGGCGATGCATCGCCGATGTATCGGCGGCACGCCCCCGAGTGCGAATAAGCTACAGACACACTCCTGGAAACCATTGCCCATGGGGCGCAAACTGATACATGGGCTGTGTATCCCCCTCTCAGCCTATTCCCCCTGCCGTGCAGGTTCTATACTGTGTTCGGGACATACCACGGGCCTCCTGCAGCCAGCCGTTCGGGGCGATCCGGGCACCCGCAGAACGCTTTTGCCACGAGGCGCAGCTGCTGGAGCCCCTCCCGAGGCTGGGACAACCGGCGAACACCGGCGAACACGCCCGAAAACCTCGAACACTGACACCGATAATGTCGTTACTGCAACGAAATTCTCTTCGGGGAACAATATGGTCTAAGAGCCAAAACAATGTTATTTGAACATCAAGCCGACGAAATAAACAAGACGGTCTCAGCCAGAAATGGTCAAATGACATGTTGTGCAAACCGCAAAATGCTCTTAGAACATCCTCTAGTGGCCCTATGGGCTAGCCAGGACGCTTCGCCACCGCTCGCCTGACGCTCACCCAGAAAATCTTGGGGCGCGAAAGGCTAGGACACCAAAGGGCAGGGCAGAGGATCAGCTCACGTAGCTGGTTTTCCTGGCGCCTCCTGGCGCTGGGAGGCGGCCCTGTATCGAGGAATGGGCCCGGCGGCGGGGCCGACACCAGCTGCATGCAGCAGATTTCGTACCCCCCCCTTTCCTCATCCTACCCTTTCGTCCGGCCCGAGAAAACCTCGAACCTAGACTCCGAGAGTCGCCCCCCCTGAGCCCTGTCCTCCTCTAACGCTGCCACTGACGACTCTTCGTCTGAGGGGCAACGATAGTGTGCGACTGGCATAGTGCACAGGTTGGAAACATCGACCTGGAATCGGCGATACATCGCCGATGTATCGGCTATAGGCCCCCGATAGCGAAACCGCTGTCGGTGATGAGTGGGCGCTTGGGGTCGATGCATCCCCCCTACTTGGAGGCTTGGACATGGGCATCAACACCAACACGGGGGGGTGGCCTCCACCAGGGGAAGATGTTCCTGGAGCTCGGTGCTGGTGGTGATCGTTCGGCCACCTGGAAACCCAGAATGTTACCACCACCGCCGAGATCGGGACACTCTCCCTTGGCGGAGGCACACCGGCGTATTGGTGTTGGTGTCAACCTCTAGGCCTCTGGCCTATGACTCCCCCCCCTAGCGCTGTCTCTGACGACTGTTCTCCTCCGAAGAGCCGCCGCCGCTTCCCGACAGGGGCACGGCCGCGTCGAGGCCAGCCGCCGGCGCCGGCGACGCCTGCTGCGGTGGCGGCGACGACGACGACGACGACGACGACGACGACGACGACGACGACGACGACGGCGGCGGCGGCGGCGGCGGCGGCGACGGCGGCGGCGACGGCGGCGGCGGCGACGACGCGACGGCGATGCCGACGACGCCGGCGGCGACGACGAGGACGCTCGCGCAGCACCAGTGTGAAAAAGGCAGGCCAAGGCAAATCTCCACGTGCTCGAGTGACGTCCAGTGGTCCCCAGCCATACTGGCGGAGCCACCTGCTGTCACGAATCCGAATGGTAATTCGCCCGAGCTGCCCGGCAATGTCGGCGGCGGCGGCGGCGCCGAGACGGTGCCGACGGCGGCGTCGACGACGGCGAGCCCAGACCTCCGACGACGTGTGGTTTTTATGACGTCGACCCCCAGAAGCCCTTCCCTGGGAACGCCCTCCTGAATCGCTGTCAGACTGAAAAAAAAACACAACATTTTCCGTCTTGGTCTGTTCCCGCCTCGAGGGGATCTCTGTCGGGCGCGGCCTGGCCGATCCACCGTGACCAACACTCTGCGTGACGCCATCCTCGTCTTCTAGGCTCCCCTCCGGCCGCATGCAGACGTTCCGGGGGGAGGCGAGGGGGACGTCACGGACAGGGATGGTTCGCTGGGGGGCGTTCGTGGGGAAACCTGAGGGCACCGATGCCGCTATTCCCCGGACCTCTCCCAGGGCGCGTTCTGACCAGGATCTCGAGGCGAATCCAGCGGTGGCGACGAGGGCCTCCCAGGAGGCCCAAAAGAGGGAAAACGGGGAAAGGGTAGAGGTATGAGTACCTCTTTCCCCTCTGAGTTAAGACCGCCCCTTCGGTCTGGGAGCCGCCATCGTCGCCAGCGTCGCCGGGCGCCGGCGGCGACGGCACCGCCTGCGGCGGCAGGCGCCCCAGGGCGCGCGCGGCCGCCCCCACGCCGCCGCGAGGCGCGGCGCCGTCCGAAAGCGGCGGGGAGGGCGAGGCCTGCGGCGAGGACCTCTGTGGCCGCCGCAGGGAGCTGCGCCTCTGGAAGGGCCAAACGATGGGGAGAAGGAAACGCACCACCACCACCACAACCACCACCAGGAGGATGGAGGCAGAGAATGGCCAGGGGTGGTGGTGGTGGTGGTGGTGGTGGTGGTGGCGGCGGCGGCGGCGGCGGCGGCGGCGGCGGCGGTGGTGGTGGTGGTGGTGGTGGTGGTGGTGGTGGTGGTGGTGGTGGTGGTGGTGGTGGTGTATACCGTATACCGTTTCGGGCGCTCTCGCAGGACATCGTGCACCCCCGCATCCTGCGCACCAGCTCATCCTGAATCCCCCCAACTGGTAGTGGTGGTGCACTTCCTGTTCCGAAAGTGGAAGACGCAAGCGAGACGACATAGCGACCTCGCGCGGCGGCTTGCGCGGGCCGCCAGCGCGGCACGCCGCACTGGAGACAATAGCCTTTGCGCCCGACCTTACGCGGGCAGCTTGCGCGCCAATGTCGACGCAGACGACCTCGCATAGTTGCGTCACTCAAATCGGGCGCGGCCAGACCGAACCCTAGCAAGCCATCGCCTTCCGTGACATCACCCTCGCCTTTCAAGCTTCCCTCCAGCCGCATGCATACGTCTTCGGCCGAGGCGAGGGGGACGACACGGAAGAGAATGGTTTACAGGGGTTCCGGTCAAGCCGCCCCTGACCAACAACTTGATTGTTGTGGGCCCCGGAAGCGGCAGGGCCGTTTTCTCACCGCTTCCGAAAAAAAAACAATCCCTTGAAAATGGAAACGGCAAACAAAACGGCGACAAGAAACGGCAAAAAAACGGCTGCAGGATTGGAACCGGAGCCGGAACCGGTCAAAAAACGGCGACGGAACCGGTGAAAAAACGGCGTCGGAACCGGCAGCAAGAACGGCAGAACGGAACCGGTAAAAAAAACGGCCCTGTCGTTTCCAGGGCCCACGAAGGCGCCAACTGCCCAGGCCACCTCGCGCCGCGACGAAAACAAATATCACGGGGGGAGGTGATCTGCTGCGTTCGGCCTCTGGTGGCTCTCGCCCGGCCTCGGCGCCGTGGAAAAAGAAAAGCGGCTCGGGCTGAGAAGCCGGTCCTGGGGAGTGGATCCAGACCTCTTAGGGTCGCGTCATAAACAAGACATCGGGGGCTTAGTGGGCCCTGGAAACGACAGGGCCGTGTTTTTTTTTTTACCGGTACCGTTTTGCCGTTTTGTTGCCAGTTCCGACGCCGTTGTTTTACCGGTTCCGTCGCCGTTTTTTGACCGGCTCCGGCTCCGGTTCCAATCCTGCAGCGGTTGTTTTGCCGTTTCTCGTCGCCGTTTTTTTGCCGTTTCCATTTTCAAGGGATTTGTTTTTTTCGGAAACGGTGAAAAAACGGCCCTGCCGTTTCCGGGGCCCACAAAGATCCAGACCTCTTGGGGTCGCGTCATGAGATAAACAAGACATCGGGGGTCTGGGGACTTGTACACCGACTCTGAGATCACGACAGGCGGACACGTCCGAGAATCTGGGGCGCAACCCCGCGGACACTTACGCGGTCGTACAGAGGCGGTCCGCGCAGGGCATCCGCGAACAAAAGCGTACCGTATCTGCGGGGGCGCGGCCCTCGGGTCGGGCGAAAGGGGGGGATAGCAAAGGGGGGGTTTGAGAATCAGCTCACGTAGCTGATGTTCCCGGCGCCTCCCGGCGCCGGAGGCGGCTAATGTATCGAAGAATGGGCCCCTCGGTGAGGCCGAAACCAGCTGCATGCAGCAAATTTCGTCCCCCCCCCCTTTCCCAATCCCCCCCTTTCGCCCGGCCCGACAGGGACCCCGCCCGCGAGGCCGCGGATAGGGATATGGCTTCGCCCGTGATGAGATCCGGGCGTCGTATGTTTCCAGCCCAAAGCGAACCTGGTTCGCTTCGGGCTCTGCGGGGCCCCTCACAGATCGCTCCGGCTTGAAGGGCGCAGATGGATGGGGGCAGAGGGAGGGGGAGGAGGAGGGCGAAGGAGGAGGAGGAGGATGAGGAGGAGGAGGAGGAAGAGGAGGAGTTCAGGAGGAGGAGTTCAGGAGGAGGGGGAGGAGGAGGAGGAGGAGGAGGAGGAGGAGGAGGAGGAGGAGGAACTACTGCTGTTCTGTTGCTTCCGCGACGTCGGATCTCAGGGTGCGCCGATACCGGCCGGGCCAGTCCTGGGCCGAGCCGATCGGCGCATGCGCCCTCCTGGCGCTGCGGGGGCACGCAAGCACTGGTCCCGGGGCCCAGGATCGGCCTGGCCCAGATCGGCCCACCACAACCACGGAACGAGCACGCGCCAATAGAAAGGGGCCCACTAGGGACACACACAAGGACATAGACACAACTCCCAGGAGGCCCCATATGTTTGCCCACCTCTTCTGGGCGTTCGTCTTCCCCCCACTTCCCAGATGTTCCCCTATCTTCCTGGGAGCAGACGATGACTTGTGTCTGCGTGTGTGTGTGTGTGTGTGTGTGTGTGTGTTCCCGCTCCGGAGCCCAAAGAGACCCACTCGCGGACTTCCTGGGTCAGCGCTGGACCCCTCACCCAGGCGCTCTCCACCAACACTACCAACGGGGGAAAAGGACGGACTGGGAGGTCCTCCTCCTCCCTCTCCTACCTATGGTAGTGGTGGTGGTGGAAAATCGGCCCATCATTTGTTGCCAGGGGGGGACACGACTCGCCCAGCCCTGGCCGGGCCCCACCTGGCACTCCAGGACATGATCGAATCAGACCCCCACCCCTTTCTCCCAAGGCTGTTCCTTCTGACCAGAATTCCGAAGAGAATCCAACCGTGGTGCCGAGGGCCCTCCAGGCCGAACCGCGGCATCAGCATGGTCCAACCTTTAGATCCGACGTCACGAACACATGCAACATCGCATGACAGAAACTCGACCAGAACCCTGGACACCATCTCCCTGCGCCCTTTGTCGAGCCAGAGCGATCAGTGAGGGTCCCAGGGCCCGAAACAAGACTACATCACCCAGACGCAAGGGTCTCAGGGCATGCTCGTGCAAGTTGTCCCATGGCGTCCGCTGGTGCAACTGTTGCACACCATCCTGTGGTCTTGGGATCTCGTTTTGAGGAGACAGCGTCCCGCGTCCTCCTCTCCTCTCATCCTCCCTCCTCCCTCCTGCCACATCGCATGCCCTCCGCATGTCTCTCCGCACCCCCCCACACAAGTTCCGTGGCCCCACAGGGAGCTCCACCAAAGGCCTCAGATGTAGCGCCCGCATGACACCACCGCGCCCAATTCAGCACTACCTCTCGCGCGTGTGGTGGCCTCATAGGGAGCGCCACCTGAGGCCCAAGTGGCAGCACCCGCATGGCACCACCGCACGTTTCGGCACACCCCTCACGCGCTTCGTGGCCCCCCATAGGAAGCTGCACCGAAGGCAGTGGCAGCACCCGCATGCAACCACCGCGCCCATTTCGGCAGACCCACCACACGCTTCATGGCCCTACACGGAGCTCCACCGAAGGCCCCAGTGGCAGCACCCGCATGGCACCACCGCACCTATCGGCACATCCCTCACACGCTTAGTCGGGGCCCTGAAGAAGGAACCCTTTTCGTTGGGGAGGGGCTCCGCGTTCCTTAAGTGTTTCGCAGCTTGCCTCAGGTTTTCCTTAGGTTTTCGATCTGAAATCGAAGTTTAACTTATGGAAAATAGGGGCCTCGTTCCTGATTTGGGGTTCCTTAGGTCAAGGCCCCGACTGTAGTGGCCCCGTAGGAAGCTCCAGCGAGGGCCCCCAGTGGCAGCTCCCGCACGGCAGCCCCGCCGGCGCCCGTTTCGGCACACCCCTCACACGACTCGTGGCCCCGCAAGGAGCTCCACCAAACTGAGGCCGCAAAGGCAGCACCCGCATAGCACCACCGCACCCACCGCTGACACGCTCTGTGGCCCCAGAAGGAGCTCCAGCGAAGGTCACCGCAGCAGCGCCCGCATGGCACCGCCGCACCCGTTGCAGCGCACCCATCACACGTTTCGTGGCCACATCGGGAGCTCAACCGAATTCCTCAGTTGCAGCGCCAGCACGGCACCACCGCGCCCGTTGCGGCACACCACTCACACGCTTTGCGACCCCATAGGGAGCTCCACCGAAGGCCCCAGTGGTAACGCCCGCGAGGCACCACCGCGCCCGTTTCGGCACGTCCCTCGCACGCTTCGTGGCCCCGCAGGGAGCTCCATCGAAGGCCCCAATGGCAGCGCCCGCATGGCGCCACCACATCCGTTTCGGCACACCCCTCACACGTTTCGTGACCCCCTCAGATGCTCCATCCAGAGCGGTCGGTACACACGACGCGGCACTCACAACTGCACATGGCCGGGTCTTTCGCCTGCATAAGTTCAATCCGCGACCCCAGGGGCAGATTTTCACCCCACATCCGTTGTGGAAGGACCCAGGGCCCAGGAACGGTCCCCGAGGGCCGAAATCAAATGAAAAAAAGCAGGTTGAAATTATGAACTATATGTTCGCGTAATGTGTCCCATCCCTCGACTCGGGCTCCCGCAACCGGCCGGGACGATCAAGGCACACCCGGAGCGTTCTCGGCGAGTGGGGAGCATCCCGAGGCTGGAGAGCCGCCGAGAACCCACAAACTTGTCCGAATACCTCGAACATTGACCCAGGTAGATCTTGGCGGCGAACGAAGGGAGAAGTGACAAGGAGAAGGCCGTCTCAGAAGGCTCGGAAGTCCCTGGGC